TTTTTGAGCTTTGGGGGCCCATAAGCTGGCCTACCCTTGTTGCCTAGTGCTTACCTCTAGCCTATGTAAGCTATTGGCTATCGCCCCACACAAGCCTAACGGCCCAACCGGCCACCGTTAAGCACCGGCCCGACGCCCTTACTAGCTAATGCCTAACATTAACCCAACGTGCACAAGGCATGCTTGGTCCGGCCTAGTCTAGCCTAGTCCTTGGCCTAGCATGCCAGTAGCTTGCCATTTGTCTAGTTTTCTCACATGCATCTCGCCCGGCATGCCTTCCGGTAAGCCTAGCCTTCTAAGTGGCCTAGCACACTCATATATGCTTAGCTTGGCATTGGCTTGGCATGCATGAGGCATACCTAGCCTTGCACACGCCCTCCCATTAGCCCAAAATCATATTTAAATTAATTTATAAATTACCAAAATCATTAATTTTATAATTAGAAATCAATAATTGTTATAGTTAATTAAATATCAATATAATTAAAGATTTAATATGACTTTGATACCAATTGAAGGATCATATATCCTATGAAGGTGTAAAATAAATAAAATTTTTTGTTCTCTTGTATTTAAAGTTTATAAGATCAACCATTAAATCAACTAAATATTTTAATAACAAGATCATTAAGAGTTATCTTTTGTAGCATAGAATTCAAATTTACAAATTAGAACCGTCCAAGCATCTAGTCTCTACTAATGATCCATGTAGCTTAAACATTCATATAAGAAGTGGTAAAAATCATAGAGTGCCAGCTCGAATCTTTCCCGCTAATGTAATTTTCTTTGAAAAATCTCTCTAGATTTGGCGTACTATATTTTCTAAGAGAGGGGTTGCGGGTTGGTTAATTTTGGAGAGAGATGCTTATAATTTTTATAACTTTTAGATTAATTATTACTATTCATTTATCATCTCTCTCTCCCCCTATATATATATAAATATATATAGAGCGCAAGCAAGTTCTTCTAAAGGAGTTACTTTTTATGTGGGATTTATTTGACCTTATCCTCATAAAGCCCGAGTCTTATCCTTTAGTGCTCAAGATTATCCATCCACTTAAAATTCCTTGCAAGCTTTTACTTAAGCAATTGGACTCAAACTCCTTTGAACCAATGACTCAATAATTAATTTGACCCATCCAAAAAATTTAGGTCAAGTATTTTTAGAGAGGCCTACATTAGGAAATAATTTTCTAATTTACCCTTTAACTTAAATTAGTAAACTAACTTTCAAATTAGGAAAATAATTTTTGAAATAGGAAATTGATTTTTAAAATAGGAAACTAATTTTAAAAATGGGAAACTGATTTTCAAAAAGGGAAATTAATTTTTAAAATAGGAAACTTTCTCTAAAAACTTCTCTTCTTTTTTTCGTATGAATTTTTAAACTTATGCATGTGACTCAATAGGCTCCTAGATATGTTAGTAATGTATCAAAAAGATAAAAGACACGTCTTTAATCTCTTGATACATAAATCAAGATTGATCTATAGTAAGACATCATAACTACCCAATTCTCTAGAATAATTAATTAATTCGCAACTACTTTTCACGAGCATGGTTTTCATGCAATTTATTTCTCATGTTCATTTATCACAATGTGATCTCAAACTTGATTTCTAGTCTATAAGATTATGTTCACATAAGTTTTCTTCGATCTCTAAATGTCTTAGCTCTCAAGTGAACCAACTATGTTCTACCGGCATACTTCCACTATGGCCATAGATTCATGGCGGATATTCATCGAAGTACAATGTGATAATTTCTTTAGCATATGAGGAATGACATATCCTATCTCGACTCATCCACCAATCTCTATTAGATTCATAATGTACCTAATGAATTGGTCGTATACAACTCTTTATTGAACCCATCAAAATGAATGTTAATGTACACTACTCCTCTAATAAGATAATTGTGATAACTTCAAGTCAAAGAACTATTTGTACCTATCTCGTATGAGATTCCCATAGGTTAAACCAAATAGGTTCCCATGATGAGTCATGTCTAGTGATATATTCTCTAGCATTATTCACCTAAATGCATGCTCCGGCATCACTATATCAATGTGTGTGAGATCTCCTACTTTTATTTTATAGTAAGAGCATAGCACACACAAGTCTTACCGTATATTGTCTTAACAATACTATGACTTGGGATATTTAATGATATCATTTAAATGCCTTGATATTTGTCTCGATATCTATTGATTAATCATTAATGCAATGCATATCATATGGACTTCTATCTAATTCTATCAATTTATAAATAATAAAAATTAATAGAAAGACTTCTTCATTAATATTGAAAATGCAATGATACAATATATCAAACCATCTAAACAGATTGAATCTTGGACACCTATATTAACATAAAATATAGAGGTATATATATGATTATGATCAATATATGGAAATTGCTAGAATTTGATTAAGCTTATATGTTACCAAAACCATTCTCTCGCTTCTTAATTTTAGGTTAAGTTCCATTTTTTAATGTTTAAATAGTTTGACTCTCTAAACTTTGTCAAAAGTGGTCCGTAGTCGACCTAAGGAAAATTAACTTAATCACCCACATCAATGGAAACAATATATAAAAGCTACCGTCAAAATTGATTCTTATGAAGTTAGAGGTTATAATGGATGGGAGGAAATTTGAGATATCAAACACTATTGAATATGTTGTTGATGCAAATTCCATTATCGTAGGCATTTTAAGAGCTACACATCCCGCCTCATTCATTTCGTAGACGAGCTTTCATAATTAGCATGTGCTCTTAGAAATGTTGAAAACTTCTCCTTTCTTTACCTAAATCCTATCACTTTAGGTTTTCATGATTAGTATTGATTTTCCCGATAGGATCCATTATCATTGAAATGGATTTGTGTGTTTTTGTTAAAATTAATGATTTTGAACTTTCCGATCTAATCCATTCCAATCAAACTCACCGGTATTTTTAACAAAAAGAAGCAATAAGGACAAGAATTAGGCATAAGTTTTAGAAAAATAATTTGTGTCTAGAGTACCGCACATGAATCTATATAGATGTAGTTGAAGTGGGCCGGGATACATTAACCGTAGCCCATATTTTCTCATTCAAACTCCATTATACCAACTCACTATTAGTCCTAACATAACTCCAAGTGGTTGAATCCGAGCTTAAATGTGAATCCTAAAATGTTTAAGTTATTGGCTATAACTACTCAATCCCTAAGAAATGTTGATAACACACCAAATATAGGGAATCATATAAGGAATTCATATTCACCAAACAATAACCATAATCTTTAGGTACCACTAATATCTATATATGTTATTTGATAAAAATACATTTTATGTTATTTTTTTTCGAAAGTTATGATCACAAAATTTGTTACTTTTTAAGGGGGCTATAACGGTCCGAGTTCATTGCAATTAGTGTATTTCATTTCTAATTTTTTTTTCTAAAATTATAGGTTGCCTAGTGTTATGAACTATTGGGATTTGGAGGGCAACTACAGGATTAATACTTTAGTCTCTTGTTATGCTTTTTGAACTTTGAACTTTAGTGTACTAAGTTTGTCTAGTAGGAACTTTTAACTTTTTTTCAAATATTGGATTTTTTTTCTTTTTAATTTTTTTTAGATATTTGGATTATTAATTTTCTTGTAAAAGATTAATTAATGTTTGAAATTATGTTAAGAAACTACTTAGATTATTACTTTTCTCATAACTAATTAATATTTAGAATTATCTTAAAAAAATTATTGCAATTGTAAATTATTGCATTAAGTATTTTATAAATCACTACATTACCATGATAAATCGTTGCATTCAGTATTTCACAACCGTTGCTATTCTTTTATAAAATTGTTACATTACATATACAATGCCAAATGCAATAGAAAAACTATTGCCAATGATATATAAATCATTGGATAATATATTAGATAAATCGTTTCATTATTTGATAGAAATTGTTGCATAAAATAACTTAAAAACCATTGCATATATGGTGAAAACCATTGGATATGTTTTGATTTAAACCGATGCTATATCATTTCCAAAACCACTGCCTCAAGTAATAAAATAACCATTGCAATTGGAGTATATTATGTAATGAAAAGTTTTGCATTGCTATTATATATAGAAACTGCTGTATTAATCTATTACAGCACTGATAAGATGTAGCGACTGGTAAACTATTGCATCAAATGTAATAAAGAAGTTTTCAATTGTTTAGCAACAGCTGTCAGCCATCACATAAAGCTTTATATATGTGGTAGTAACGTTTTAAATGCTCCACCGAAAGAAAACCGAAAATGTTGAAGAAAAATAGAAAATAGAAATGAAGATGATAGACAGGAATCCTCTAAGTAAACAGGTTTTGTAGTTGATAGACACAATTGCGTAAAAGTTGACAAGCTGCCTTTTGGTCCAGCTTCCACGCAAGTCATTTAAACCCAGCTCCCCATCTATTATCTTGGCCACGTTTGTAGTCTACACCTCACTATCGAGTCATTGTGTTGCCACATATTTCATTGCTGTTTCACTACTTATAATGGGTGTGCACTAGATTTGTTTTTTTGTGTACACCGCCATTTTTGTACATTTTTCTTGTATTTAAATACGCATGCTTATCTCAATCACAAATGTTCATCACAGAAACCAACCACTAAACAAAGAAAAAGAAACCACAAAGGAGCTCGAAAAGAGCCTCAAGGGCGATGGAAATGAAAGGTAGCAGAATTAGTGTCTTGATGCTTCCATGGTTAGCCCATGGGCACATATGTCCCTTCCTAGAGCTAGCTAAGAGGCTCACAAAGAGAAACTTCTACATATACTTTTGTTCAACGGCTACAAACCTCAATTCCATCAAGGAAAAAATTCCACATAAATACTCACTCTCAATACAACTTGTTGAAATTCGTCTCCCATCATTTCCTGAACTTCCTCCTCATTACCATACCACAAATGGCCTACCACCCGATCTCATGCCTACACTAAAAAAGGCCTTCGACATGGCAAGCCCTAACTTCTACAAAATACTTACAACTCTAGCCCCTAACCTTCTCATCTATGACTTCCTTCAGCCATGGGCACCAGCACTAGCAGAAACACTAAATATTCCATCTGTTAATTTCCTAAGCTGCAGCACTACGATGATTTCTTTTTCCATCCATGATTCAGGAAACCCTCGTGTTAAATATCCTTTTCCAGAAATTTATCTACACGAACATGAGGTTAATCAATTCAACCATCGGCTTGACTCCTTTGCCAATGGTGTCAAGAATGCCGACCGTATCAAGGATTGCTATAAAAGGTCTTTGAACATCATTTTAATCAAGACCTTTAGAGAGTTGGAAGGAAAACACATTGATTATCTCTCACACTTAACTGATAAAAAGATGGTTCCAGTCGGCGCATTGGTTCAAGAAGAGATCAATGAAGAAGAGGGGGAAGAAATCATTGAATGGCTCAACAAAAAAGAAAGATTGTCAACCGTGTTTGTTTCCTTTGGAAGTGAGTATTTTCTGTCCAAGAAGGAGATAAAAGAGATGGCTCAAGGGCTAGAGCTTAGCAAGGCGAACTTTATATGGGTTGTTAGGTTTCCTATGGGAGAGAAAGTAAGTGTTGAAGAGGCACTACCTAAAGGGTGTTTCAATAGGGTTGGAGAACGAGGAATGGTAGTGGAAGGATGGGCACTGCAAGCAAGAATACTAGGGCATTCTAGTATTGGTGGATTTGTGTCACTGTGGTTGGAGTTCTGTGATGGAAAGCATGAAATATGGTGTACCAATTCTGGCCATGCCAATGCATCTTGATCAGCCATTGAATGCTAGAGTTGTTGAAGAGGTTGGTGTTGGTGTGGAGATAAAAAAGGACCAAAACGGTTGGATTCAAAAGGAAGAGGTGGCAAAAGTGGTTAAAGAAGTTATCAAGGAGAAAAATGGAGAGAGTGTAAGAAAGAAAGCAAAGGAAATGAGTGAAAATTTGAGAAACAAAGGAGATGAAGAGATTGATGGTGTTGTGGAGGAATTGGTGCAGCTTTGTCTGAAGTGCAATTAACTAGTTAGCTTCAAGGTCTTTGCTTATAATAAGCTTAAGGGTGTGTCATATGCAATGTTTGTACAGAAAAGAAGGAACGTGATCCCCTAAAACAAATACGCATTCATACGAATAAATTTTTGTATGAAATTTAATATGTTTTTAATATATATATATATATATATATATTATTTTTTCTATGTCAAGTTTACAGATTTTATTTATTTATGTTTAACGTTCCAAAACTTTTAATTTTCTAATCTTGAATTAATTGCTATAATGCCATAATCGATGATCGATAAGTGCTATTGTACAATAACAAATCTTGAACAATAGAGATAGTGTGGCGATTATTGATTTATAGTATTATAATGGATAGTCTGAAAACAATAATTCTCGAAGAGTAAAGGATTTTAATTAAGTTTAAAAAAACAATGAAGAATCTTAATAAAAAAAATACAAAGTTCAAGTATGAAAAAAAACCTAGAATGTTAATAAAATTTCAAAACCTAATTGCTCCATAAATAGTATTCATGGAAATGATGGTGATTCGAAAAATCACTTTTGTGTAATTGTTCTTAACTCTCGATGATTAAATTTTTTAAAATTGTATTATTATTATTATTATTATTATTATTATTATTTCAATCTTTCGATTTATGATCAGGTCAAGGTGATTAAATTTTTTAAAATTGTATTATTATTATTATTATTATTATTATTATTATTATTATTATTTCAATCTTTCGATTTATGATCAGGTCAAGGTAATGGAAAAATGAATTTCAAGATGCTTTTTACGTTCTGAAAAGCATACAAGGGAAAAAACATAATAAAAATAAAAATAAAACTTGAAAGACCCTAGTACTTATAAAAAATAATAATCATAATAACATGAAGAGCAAATGACCTCTCTTGAGAATTAATACCATCAACTTCAAATCATATTCTCAAAATTTTTCTAGGTTGGAGTATAGTTAAGAGTTGGAAACACGAAGAAAGCTTATAAAATAGAAATTTTAATGGCCTCTTTGACATCTCAAGATTTATTTATGTAATTTAACAATATAAATATAAACTAACAGTGATTGTCAATTTTTCATCTATATTATGTAATGAAAATAGAGGAGATTTTTTTTCTTAGAATGACATTAATTTGGCTTTCTATTAGTTTTCTTTTATAATTACTTATTATTTTTCTTTCATAATTACTTTGATATGACATGTGGCATTCTCTACTAAAACAATGTTTTATCTTATTTATCTTATTTATTTTTATTTTTATTATTTTGCTATGTGGTAGCATGCCGAATGCACCAAATTAATTAATTTCTTACTCCTAATTACTGATTTGTAGTTATAGAGCAAGTAAGGGTGAAATCATAGAAAATTGATTTTTTGATCCACTTTTAATTCAAGTTGTATAAAAACGGATAGAGGATTTTTTGAATTCAATTAACTAAACACTAATTGATAATTAAAAAGATTAATGTGAAATAATAATAATAATAATAATAATAATAATAAAGTTTAGTTCTTAGTTCAATTTTCACCCTCCCACTCAATAAATACAACCAATAGATATGTTGTCCTAACTCTTATGAAATTATCGACCTTAGGTAACAACAAGTTATGTTATTCGAAATTTCTCTTATATAGTCAGTAATGAAAACAAACTTTTCACTAGCTATTAATTATTAGACAATCTAGAATCAACTCTCGATATTTAATGCAACAACAGCCTTAAGGATTAGAGAATTAGGATAGTCTAAGTAACAATCTCACAAGCTTAAATCATTTAACTTATGTTGTGTTATTCACAGTAATAAGAAAAAAAACTTGTCCATAATCATCTATCTATTTTTGCTACTTATTGATTAGAAAGAAGACAATTACGAATCACAATTTTTAATTCTAGCAATCAATTTATGTTCTATTTAATCTAGCAAATTTTATTTGAATGAAACAAACAAAAATCATAAGCAATTAATTCAAAATAAACACAAGCAATTTCATATAAAAATTAAGAACAAAAATTTGGTCTTGAACTAAAGCAAGAGAATTTGATAAAATCAAGCAATTTCATATAAAAATTAAGAACAACTTCATAAGTTTGATCACTTCATTGATATAATTTTGGGCTTGAACTAAAGGAAGAGAATTAGCTCGACATAATGTAAACCAAAAACCCTAAAACCATAAAGAAAGTTTCTATCGTTCATTATTTTATGAATAAATGTGTTTCTAAATGCATAATCCCTTTAAATTAGTTTTAGAGACTATTTATATAAGTAAACATATAAGTATGGAAATTAATAATCTTATCTTATAGACTTTAATTTCGAATAAGACTTACTAAATGAGACTTCAAATTTCATATGAGAATTTTTTAGCTAATTTTGGATCGATTGGAGGTTGGTTTTGGACTTGTGCTCCCTATGAAATTGTAGGCCTGAATATTTTCTTTCAATATAATCTTGAATCACCTCAATAAAATATCTAGAACTCAAAATATGGCCAAATGTTGATCGGTGTTTTAAGTTTTCATGGCCTAACTTTATAACCGATTTTGAAACTCAAACTAGATTTTATTTAAGTCTATAAAACAAACTTGGAAATCTTAAGACCTCTACTTCAAACCTTAAAAAGGCTCCTTTTACGTTTCATGAACTCTAAGGATGTGAATTTTTCATATCTTTCTTTGAAGGTCAACCTACTAGTATTGTGGAATTTTATCTATGTTAGTTCAATTTTGCTCATTTGCCATTCAAATCTTCTCCTAAGTTGTAAAATAAATATTATTTAGCACATATACCCTAAAACAAATATCTTGAAGACTAAAAATAAAAGAATGAATGTAATCAATAATGATCAGTATCACTATGCTCTACCAAAAGTATATATATTACAAAAAAAAAAAGGAGTAAATTATAAATTAATCTCTATAGTTTCAAGAAACGAATTAATCTTCTTGTTTCAAAAACTCGGCTATTTGTTCCATTTATTAGTATTGATGACACTTAATTTAGCATTATTTTATTTAAAAAATATTTGCTTTTCTCATCAATATTTTTCATAATTTTTTTATTTCTATTTTTTAAAAAAATTAGAAAAAAACATAAAATAGACAAAAAGGACTAAATAATTAGATTTTAAAATAGAAGTGTTATTTAATTTGTTTTTCAAAACTAGAGGAATTAATTTTAGCTTTCATGAAGCCTTTTCTATTATTATTATTATTATTATTTCTACTCTGTGTGTGTGTGTGTCTCTCTCTCTCTTTACACGAGACACACACACACACACACACACACACACACACACACACACCAAAACCAAATGATAATTTAATGAATAAGCTACATAAAAAAGAAGAAGAAGAAGATAATTTTACTGAAAAAAACAAAAGATAAATTCGAGAATAGTCTATCATTATCTTTATTTGTTCCTTTTTGCTATGCTCAACACAAACTCTCCACCTCCCGAAATTTTTTTTCTATGTACAACTCAAAACTCTTTTCTCTCTCCGCCTCTTCATAATAACAAATAACTAATCGTGAAGAACACAAATCTTAAAGCACACTATGAAGCCGAGTAAATAAAAAAGATGAAAGAAAAAGGAATGTTTTCAAAAACCCAATCATAATAAGACATATTGGACGTTAAAATCATGCCATAAATTGGAGGATTTTACTAAGGTTTCGGATTTATTTTTTTATTAGGATAGAGATTTTATTGAAGTTTATCACGATCCAATTTCTTTATGGTATGCTGCCGAACAAATCAAGAGTTGTCCAAGATAAGCATAATGGTTCATCGGATAATCACAATCCTAAAACCTTGAGATAAATATATGTTATATATTCACTAGAAAACCTTGCTTGAATAAACGGATAGCTCTTTGTCTCATCTCCACATTTTTTTCTTAAATGTTCAATCCGAGTTGTTTTGAGTTTATTTTTTATTTTTTTAGGTTTGATATACACATGCTTTTATGGGTTTTGAATAAGTGATGGCACATGGTAGCGAAGTTGGTAGTGTCATTGATGCAATTAAAGAAATCGATTTGATGCAATAGTACTCGGCCTCTAATATGCATTGTTGTAGAACAATATTAATAGCTTTTAAAGAAAATTCACTATCAAAATTGAGTATTTTAACTAATTTTATTATCTCGTTAACCCATGTTATTATATTTAATTATGACATGGATTCAAACTACATAGCATATGGATTGGATTAAGGATGGAGTTAACTCAACATAAGGTATTGGATTACGATGATGAACATGAATATTTTGACAGGACTTATAGCCCTAAATCATGATGATGCACATGAATATTCTAGTAAGATTAGTGTCTATATCTTGTCATTAAAATGCATTAAAAAGATTGATTTAGTAGGCTCGGAGTAAGGTTCATTAAGAAAGACTCAATTATTACTTCTTTAGTTCCCGCTAACGGGCAAATTAGAGTGTTTAGTCAAAAATTTTTTTAATTTTGTCTCAATTCAAATCTAATCATCCAAATATCGATGACATGGCATGATCTTACATAAGGGAATCCAACTTTCTGATCTCTAGTAAAAAAAAAATCTAAACTTTCTCTTTCAAAACTCTCCTAAATACCAACCTCACATAAGGAATTTCAACTTTTGATCTCTAGTAAAAAAACTCTCTCTCTCTCTCTCTCTCTCTCTCTCTATATATATATATATATATCTCACACACACACACATAAAAACTCTCTCATTCACATTCTAAATATAACCTAAAGTTCCATTCGTTTAGATGTTGACAACCTACTTGCTCGCCACTTTGACTCGCACATGTCTAGTACTTTCTACTCTTCTTCTCTTGCCTCTCACTAATTGCATATATTTTATTTAGTTATTTGATCATTGCTTTTATAAATCACAATATTAGTTCTCTTTATCTTGATTGGTCCGTCGATTAATCATTTGATTAGTTCTTAAAAACAATTCCTCCCCTACACACAATAGTATTGAAATTGAATTCAATT